TAGTTCATGATGTTTAGATTTGAGGGAAGATTTCAATCTATCGTTACCATGGTACGTGTCAAATGCTACAGAAAAGGTCAAATGTAGGCACTGAAGCGCTTGCTCAGTGGTCAGGAGCACTGCCTACTCTTTCAAAGGACACCCTCCAGTGTGATTTCCAGCACTGCCATGGTGGCTTACAAACACCTGTAACTCCAGTTCCAGGGGTTCCAACACCCTCTTCCAGCCTCCACGGGCACCAGTCATACACATGGTACACAGATATACATGCAAGCAAAACACCCATACACATAAATTTAAAAATGTAAATGTCAAATGTAATGTTAAACTGAACCTGCAGAGGGAAGGAGCTCCGTTTCCAAGACAACAGCTATAGCTGAATAATGTGAAACTTATTACAAAAGCTGTCCACTTTAACTAGCACCGTGGAGACACAACATAGTGAACTTTATAGTAACTCTTTAAAGTCCTCCTTAATGTGAATGTAGTTAGGGCTGTTTTCTAGTTTTTCATTTATTTGTTTTAAGTGCATGTGTGTGTGTGTTGCTATGGATCAGAGGACAACTTGAGGAGCTGGTTTGTTCTTCCACCCTGTAAGTACCTTAGGTATGCAGGTTTGGTGACAAGCTCCTTTCAACCGCTGATCCATCTCACTTGCCCTGAAGCTTTTCCTATCGCTTGTTTTATGACCTTGTATTGCATCTAGATACTCTAAAAGCTCTTACCTTCAAAACATAGATAGAGTTTGTTTTGTTTTTGAGGTCGGGTCTCATTGTGCAACCCCGGCTGGCCTGGAACTTAACTATGTAGACCAGGCTGGAGTCTCCAGAGCAGGAAGTAAAAGTGTATGACACCACACTTGGTCAGGTAGTTTGTTTTCGAGACAGGGTTTCTCTCTAGCTTTGGAGCTTGTCCTGGAACTAGCTCTTGTAGGCCAGGCTGACTTCGAACTCACAGAGATCTGCCTACCTCTGCCTCCTGAGTGCCACCACCACCTGGCTCGGTCAGGTATTTTTATTATCCATTTTTCTTAAGAAACATTTTGATTTTTTTAAAGTCTCTCATTTCTAACTGAAACTCTAGCAGACTCAATGACGTTTATCAACTGTCAAACCTTTCCCATATCCTTTTTCCAAATGTCTTTAAGTTGGATTCTCAGTATTTTCTATGTTAACTAAATAAAATGTAGAATTACAAAATTTGACATAGCTATTTGTTCTCTGCCTCAGTCCACTCTATTGGATTTAGAGGGTGGAATATAAAAAAGTTTCTAGGTCTGAGTTGTGTTTAGTACATCTCTAAGAAGGTTGAGATCATGAGGAGGCTGACAGTTCACCTCAGGACTCTCTTGCTTACGTCAGTGGCTTTGCTGGATTGTGAGGAGCAGAAATATTATGAATAGTCCTTTAAGGGTGTCATCAGGCACACTTGACTAAATCTGCATAGCAACCCCACTTAGGCCACAAACACTCTGCCTGTCTCCACAGACACAGTATGTTTGCTGGATGGAGATCCATGTAGAATCCTTGTCCTTGGCGGCCACAAGGGATGTGGACCCCATCCTTGTAACTGCTACTTTCTCTATAGGATTACAGCCTATTGTATTTCCCTTTACTCCTTTTAGTCTTCTTCTTTCTTTCTTTTTCAGTCTTTTGAGGTAGTGTTTCTCTGTAGCCTTGGCTGTCCTGGAACTCACTCTGTAGACCAGGCTGACCTTGAACACAAATAGATCTGCCTGCCTCTGCTTCCTGAGTCCTGGGATTAAAGGCATGCGCACCACTGCCAGGCCACCCCTTTCTTTCTTTTGATAGGGTCTCATGTCTGTCAGGTTGGCACTAACCTCTCTATAGAGCAAATAGATAAATAAATAAATAAATAAATAAATAAATAATAAATTTTAAAAAAGGCCCTGAACTTCTGCCTCTTCTTCTCTCACATTCTAAGGCCTGGGATTACAGGTGTGAGACAATGGCCTATTATTATTTTGTTTATATGTCTCAATGAATCCTTGTTTTTGAGTCTCTATGTAGCATAGGCTGACCTGGAACTTGTGACTGTCCTGCCTCAGCTTTATATTCTATTCTAGGCATTATAGTATTATAGGTATGGCATGATGTAGAGCCCTGAATTCCTTTTCAGAGATTAAATGTCGATGTGCATACATATTCCAAATAATCAAGAAACTGATAGATCAGGTTAGCTTGGGAGTTCAAGGGCAGCTTAGCAAACAGTAAGACTGAGCTCCCCTCCTCAAATAAATAAAAGCATGCACACTTAGGGTTGGGGGTGTAGCACAGCTGATAGGGTGCTTGCCTAGCATGGCTGAAACTCTGGGAGAAGCTAGAGGAGGATCAGAAGCTCATCCTCCATGGCACTGAGGTTGAGGCTAGCCAAAGCTATATTATATATTAGATGCTTTCTGAAAAAAAAAAAACAAGGACAAAAATTGATCTTAGATTCCACAATTTCATCGTTGTATTTGGGCTTACTTTTCTTCTGATTCATGTTTTAAGTTCATTAAGACCCTTTTCCCCTCATGGAAAGAGAGTTTCATGATCTAGTTCAGGCCAGCCAGAAAATTGTAACCATCCTGCCTCACTTGCTTGACTGCTGAGATTACAGGTACCCTTCACCATACCGGACTCATTCTGGCTGCTTAAATCCTATGAGGACTATCCATACCTGTTTCATCAGGCAACTCACAAAACTTGGTGCAGCATGCAAGTTCCCTTCATTTTTAAAATGACATTTATTGGGGGGAGGTGATGGCAGGTGCACTGTTGCCATGACAGTTCTCTTCCACCATCACGTGGGTCCAAGAGTTGAACTCAGTTCAAGCATCTTTACCCACTAGGCCATCCTGGAGTATGCAAGTTTAGGGAACATTCTGTGGGTTCTAATTTCAAAGCCTTTTTTTTTTTTTTGGTTTTTCGAGACAGGGTTTCTCTGTGGCTTTGGAGCCTGTCCTGGAACTAGCTCTGTAGACCAGGCTGGTCTCGAACTCACAGAGATCCGCCTGCCTCTGCCCCCGAGTGCTGGGATTAAAGGCGTGCGCCACCATCGCCCGGCCTCAAAGCCTTTAAAGGCAGTATTTTGTAAAGAGAAAGGAACCAGTAGCGTGGGAGATGGGAGGACCAGACAGGGAAATGACAGTAAATATGAGCAAAACATATGATGTATATGTATGAAAATATCCCAGTGAAACCCATCATTTGTTACCTTTTTTCCCCCAAGGTGGGGAAGCACGTGTGGAAGTCAGGGGACTCCTGGAGGACATTGGTTCTATTTTTCCACTATGTAGGTCTTAGAGATTGACTGCTAGTCAACAGGCTTCAAGGAGAACACCTTTACCTATTGAGCGATCTTGCTGGCCTAAAACCCACTGTTTCATATAATAATTTACACATTTTCTCTTCCTGTGCGGTGCAGCTGACATGAGTGTGTATGTATGCACATGCGAGAGCAAAGCAGGCCAAGCGTGATGAGCTCTTTCCCTGGAGACAGGGTTTCCGCCCTGAATTGAAAGTTCACCTACTCCATCTCCAGTGCTGGGGTGAACGGTGTGCACAGCCACACTCAGCATTTGATGCATGTGCTGAGATCCAAGCTCAGGTGCTTATGCTTGCAGAAACGCAATCTTACCCATCCGATCACCTCCCAGCTTCCGTTCTTTCTACAAAATGCCTCTTTGGTACCATTTGTATCCGTCCTTGAGGCTGGACTGTATGAAAAGTGGTGTTCTAAGGGTCCAGTGTGTCTCATGGCTAAAAACTACCTAAAGGTCAGGAACATGTAAAATGACAGGGGGAAGACATGTCTTTCTCACTGGGCATTAAAACATCCCCGTTCAGCCGGGTTATGGTGGCACACGCCTTTAATCCCAGCACTTGGGAGGCAGAAGCAGGCGGAGCTCTGAGTTTGAGACCAGGCTGGTCTACAGAGTGAGTTCCAGGACATCCAGGGTTACACAGAGAAACTCTGTCTCTAAAAGCAAAAACAAACAAACAAACAAACAAGATAACAACAACAACAACAACAACAAAAGCCCCAAACATCCCCTTCAATGCTTTTGTCTAAATGGAAGTACTCTATTTTATGCCTATAGGGAGAAAAAGAAGATTAGACATAAATTCTGTCATCAGTAGACTAAGTATCAAAATTGAAACTACAATGCACACAAGTGTATGGGTAGACCCCTGTAATCCCAGCATTTAGAAAGAGAAAGCAGGAGCTAGAGAGATGGTCCAGCAGTTAAAAGCATGCACCGCTCCTGCAAAGGACCCAAGTTCTGTTCTCAGCACCCATACTGGGCAGTTCAGAACTGCCTGTAACACCAGCTCCATGGGATCTAACACCTCAGGCCTCTGTTGCACCTGTACCCACCCACACACAGATGGCACACATATACATACTTTTAAAAAATTAAAATTTATTATTTTATTTTATTGGAATTTGCTTGTATGTATGTGTGAGGGTGTTGGATCCTGGATTATAGACAGTTGTAAGCTTCCATGTGGGTGCTGGGAACTGAACCCAGGTCCTGTGGAAGAACAGTCAGTGATCTTAACCACTGAGCCATTTCTCTAGTACCTGTTGTTTCATTTTTTAAGACAGAGTTTCACTATGTAACTTTATCTGTACTAGGCTAGCCTTGAACTCACCAGAGATCTACCTGCTTTTGCCTCCCAAGTACAGTGATTAAAGATGTGCACCATTATGCCTGCTCCACCCCCCCAAAAAAAGAACTTTAAAAAATCTTTTAAAAAATGAAAGTAGAAGCTGGGCGGTGGTGGCGCACGCCTTTAATCCCAGCACTTGGGAGGCAGAGGCAGGTGAATCTCTGTGAGTTCGAGGCCAGCCTGGTCTACAAGAGCTAGTTCCAGAACAGGAACCAAAAAGCTACAGAAAAACCCTGTCTCAAAAAAAAAAAAAAAAAAAAAAAAAAGAAAGTAGAATCAGGAAGATTACAATTTCAGTGTCATCCTGAGCTCCATAGTGAGTTTGAGACATCCTGGGGTACCCTGTCAAATAAGAGACTGCCTCAAAAAAAAAAAAACATAAAACCTCAAACTCTTTTAAAACAATGTATAAAAGGCATTACAATAGGACACATTTAAAGTTATCAAGAAAACTTCTGAAATCACAGAAATAGTTGGAGAAATTTGGGATACCCAAATTAAGAAACCCTTAAGATACTATCACATGCAAACTTGTACTGCCTCATGGAAATCAGTGTGGCAGTTCCCCAAGAGCTGGGAACAGAAGGACCTCAAGATCCAGCTACAGCAATCTTGGACATATCTCAGAAGCCTGTATCTACACCCTTCTACAGAGACACTTGCTCATCCATGTTCACTGCTGCCCTATTCATAATCACCAGAAATTAGAAACAACTTAGATGTTCCTCCACAGAAGACTGTGATAAAGAAAATATGGAACACTTACACAATGAAATATTACTCAGCTGCTAAAAATAAAACAACAATAAAAAATAAACATGAAATCATGAAATTGGCAGGTGAATCGTCCTGAAGTAACCCAGACCCAGAAAGATAAATAAGGTATGTGTTATCTTATATATGGACATTGCCTGTTAAATAAACCAAGCTACAATCCGAAGACCCAGAGAGGTTAAGTATGAAGGAAAGGACTAGTGAGGGGGACAACGCAAGGGTCTCTATGGGAAGGAAAATAGGATAGATAGTTATAGATGGAAGGAGGCAACTGGAACGGGGAGATCGAACAGGGAGAACAGGGTAAAGGGGGGAATATGGGGAGAGACCGGTGTTTTGAAAGAGATGGCCCCGAAAGGGAGTGGCACAGTTCGAAGGTGTGACTTATTGGAGTAGATATGGCCTTATTAGAGGAAGTGTGTCACTGTGGAGGCGGACTTTGAGGTCTCATATATGCTCAAGCCATGCCCAGTGAGACAGTTCACTTCCTGTTGCCTGTGGATCAAAGATACAGACTTCTCAGTTCCTTATCCAACACTGTGTCTTATCTAGCTGCACACTGCCATGTCCAACCATGATGATAATGACCTGAACCTCTGAACTGTAAGCCACCCAATGAACTGTTTTCCTTTTTAAGAGTTGCCGTGGTCAGGGTGTCTCTTCACAGCTAAAGAAACCCAAACTAAACAGACAGCTAAAACTAATGGCAATTTGAGAGGTCATATAGAAAACTAATACAGTAGAAACTCCCTATCTTATCTTCACATCTCTCTGTGTACACACACACACACACACACACACACACACACACATCTTATCTTCATATACATGAATGGAATCACCAAATAACTGGGGAGACAAAGTTGTAACTCGAAATCTCTTGTCACTAAATGAAACTTCAAGCTCTGAGAATGGGGAACATCTAATCAAGTTGTTGCCAATGGCTTCATGGAAACCCCAAACAACCCAGACTATTGCCAAAGCTATTGTTTGCTCTCGAGAAACAGATGGTTTCAGCTTTGTTGCTGAAAACATCTATATAACTCATCGAACATAGTGAAGTTGAGCTGGTGCCTACTTAGAGCCCTCATTCCTACTGACTAGTTTCCTGGTACTGGAAGGTAACTCTGCATCCTACCAAAGCAGAAAGGTAACCACCAACCCAGCTATAAACACTTGAGTCTACAATGGTGACCTTTGGCAATGTACACTGGTATAATAGCAGACAAAGCTTGTGGAACTAGTCAACCACTATCTGACTAGATTGAAGGCCTCCTCCATGAGATGGAATCCATCCCCAACACTGCTCAGGTGGCCAAGAACTTGAGATTAGATAGACCATGGACTTGCATGAAGACCAAATTCTACTGTTCTGCAAAAGGAATGTAGCAATAAAACGACTCCTAGCAACATTCTGTCATACTTAAAGATCAGTATCTTGCTCAGTCATCATCAGAGATCACACAGCTGATGGAAGCAAACACAGAGACCCACAACTGGAGAATGTGCGGAGAGGGAGAGACCCTGGAATACTCAGTCCTAAATGGAATGTCTCCATCAAATACCTCCCCTGGGGGACTGAAGAACACTAAGGAATCAAGGCCTTCTAAACACAGCAGGACTGACACACACATAAACCAGAGACTGTGGCAGCATGCACAGGGCCTGCATAGGTCTAAACCAGACTGCATCTGTCCAGTGGTGAAAGGCTAAGTGGACACAGGCCCCCATCTCTAAAACAGAAGCTGTTTCCAATTGATAACCACGCCAAAGGAAGAAATAGTTCTCTCCAATGGAGTCCCACTGGGCAAACAAAACACTCTTAAGGGCAGGCTCCATGCCCAGCAGTAGATGGCCAACACAAAACCCAATGGCACTATTGGAGGGTAGTTTTTGTCCCATCTTAAAGCTCTCTGCATATATATTGGTTCCCAACTTTGTGTTTGTATGGCTTTCTATGTGTGTGGGTGTGTTGCTCTGCATCTGCTTCTTGTGCCTTTCTTTAGCTCCTTCTCTTCTGAATGTTGGTTTGCTTACATCTTATTTTACTGTTACTTCTTAGTGCCTTTGAGGGGGTTGTTTAGTTTGAGACAGGGTCCCAATATGTAAATTTGTCCTGAAACTCGTTACGTAGACTAGGCTGGTCTCAAACTCACAAAGATCCTGAGTACTGAGATTAAAGGCACATGCCACTACCTCTATCTGAGTGAGAGGGAAGGAGGGGGAGGATCTGGGAAGAGTTGGGGGAGGAAAACCTTAATTAGAATATAATGTATGAGAAATATCTATTTTCTTTTTTTAAAGATTTATTAATTATGTATACAATATTCTTTCTGTGTGTATGCTTGAAGGCCAGAAGAGGGCACCAGATCTCATTACAGATGGTTGTGAGCAACCATGTGGTTGCTGGGAATTGAACTCAGGACCTCTGGAAGAACAGCCAGTGTTCTTAACCTCTGAGCCATCTCTCCAGCCCCCCAAAATATCTATTTTTAATTAGAAAATAGGAAAAAATATATGACCACAAGAATAAAAACCTCTAAGATGGAAACTCCTACAGCACCCCCCACTGCACCTCCAAAATTTTAAATGATGTGGTTTACTCCTTGCACATTGGAGGCTGACAGTAGACAAAATGAGTTCCAGGACAGTCTGGATGGACTACAGAGCAAGACCATATTATCAGAAAGGTGTGTGTGGCTAGGCAGTGGTGGCACATGACGCCTTTAATCCCAGCACTCGGGAGGCAGAGGCAGGAGAAGCTCTGTGAGTTTGAGGCCAGCTAGTTCCAGGACAGGCTCTAAAACTACAGCAAAACCTTGTCTTGAAAAACCAAAAAAAAAAAAGAAAGAAAGAAAGAAAGAAAGAAAGAAAGAAAGAAAGAAAGAAGAAGGGTGTGTGGTGGGGAAATGTGGAGCTAGGGACATAGCTCAGTCGTAGATTGACTGTCAATAACAAGAAAGAGAACCAAACAACAACAAAAAACCCAACCAAATAGAAAACAAAACAAAACCCTACAATTATGAAGTAATTCAAGTTGTCTAAGTCTTAAATTAAAAACATAAAGGGAACAGCAAGATGGCTCAGCAAGGACATGTGCTGCTTAGCATGACAACATCTGAGCTGGATCCCTGGAATGCGTATGGTGGAACTGCCTACTGCAAGTTGTCTTCTGTTATAAACCATGAAAGTGTTGCCTTCCACAAAATCAAAATGCACGATGCTGGGCGGTAGTGGTGCACGCCTTTAATCCCAGCACTCAGGAGGCAGAGGCAGGTGGATCTCTGTGAGTTCGAGGCCAGCCTGGACTACAAAGGGAGTTCCAGCATAGCCAGCGCTAAACGGTGAAACCTGTCTTGAAAAACAAACCAAAACAACAACAAAAGTGCAGTAGAGTGGCAGCTATACCCCAGGCACTGCCCAAAGCACACCAAACAACACAGAGAATATCAACTATGAAGAGATGGTTGCCATGAGCATCTATGAGAAGCCATACTGGTGCCTGATTAACTGAAGTTTCTTATGCATTGCACTGAGCAAGGGCGCAGAATGACACACCATCCAGACCTATAGAGGCAAAAACAGAGTGAAGGAGGCGAGGATGTAAGCAAGCAAAGAAGTATTAGGCACAATATTACTGAAATTTCCACCAAGAAGAAAAAGTATGGCTGGAAAAAATTTTTTAAGATCAATCATTTTGAATAAATCTAATGAGTAAGAATATAGACGATGTCTCTATTTCTCTTCAGCTTTCTTTGATCTAGACTGATTTAGGATATGGGACATATAGGTTGGGTGTGTTCCCAGAGAAGAATAGGGTTCAGGACTCTAGATTGATTTTCTTTTTACAAAGACTTCATTATTCATGTGTCTGTATGTGTACTTGCACATGAGTATCCAGGGACCACAAGAAGGAGCCTGATCCCCTGGGGCTCCAGTTACAGGCAGTTGTGAACATCTCAGTGTGAGTGCTGGGAACAGAACTCTGGTCCTCTGGACTAGCAGCAAGTATTCTGAACCACACGGCCACCTCTTCAGCCTCTGATTGCTTTGAATATGAAAACTGTGGGCCGGTGCGATGGCTCAGTGAGGAAAGGTGCTTGCCAAGCTGTGCCTGACAGCCTGAGTTCTATCCCTGGGACCCACATGGTGGAAGAATTGAGCAGATTCCTGCAAACTGTCTTCTGATCTCCATATGTGCACTGTAACACGTACACCTATTCCATTCCCACCACACACACACACACACATAGAAAACCACCACGAATTTAAAATGACTATAAAATACATGCTCCCAAGCACTTGAGCTATTTGTAATCTTGAGGACTTACCAGAACCTGGGAGGGATTGTATTATGATTGTATCTGAAATTCACATACCGATGGCTTGGTCCCCAGGGCTGCAGTGTTCAGTGTGAGATGTGCAAGGTCACAAGGGCTCTGGCCTCACTGAAGACTGAGCCATCTATAGATTCACAGCCTAATGTGTTCGGGTAAAAAGCTTTGCTAGTCTGTTTGCTTAGCTATTTATTTATATCACCTTTTACCTAAAAGTTGTGAAAGAACAAGGACATTCTAAAGACCATGAGAACCGTATTATGAAATGCAGTTGCTGGAAGTTATTATAAGCTAGCATGTTTAATAGTATAAGCCAACTAGAGAATCTACACTAAAACAATGTTTATATTCCACAAGTCTTATCACCAGCTTGCTACCCAGAAGTTGTAACAACCAAGATGAAACGGTGTTGCTTAGAGGAAAGAAAACATATCACTCTAGGGCTATCAGGACAGACATCGAAAGTTCAAAATAAACAGCAGCATCCAACAGGCCTTACTGCTGCCAGCAATCCCACATTTCAGGGCACACAGACAGAATTTCCAGATAGCTGACTTCTCTTGGGTATGAATTATGATTTTTACTAAACACTGAGGATTAAGTTTATGTGACTTTCTAACATTCCTTACTTTCAAAAAGTTTTCTCAACTGCTGGAACTAATGAATTAAAAGTACTTAGCAGGACTACAGCCTTCTGTATGTCTTATATCAGTGTATTTCCCTTTACTGCAAAGTCTCACATGTTTAATAAGTTCCTAGGAAATAATGTGGGCTTTAGTATTTCTTTCCTTAATTCATGGGGCATCTTGAGTATGGGTTCTTTTATGTTTCCAAAGTAAACTGTCATAATTGGGGCTGTTCCACACTGGTTTCTTAATAGGGTAAGTTCCAGTCTGATGAAATCAAGATACAAGGGACTAAGGATATTTGACATTCTTCCTACCTGAAGTGATTCTATTCACCATGAGGTACTAGTGTTCGGTTAGTAGGTGAAATCTGCTGTAGCCTTCCCTACATTCTCAGCGAAAGGTTTCTCTCTAGTGTGGATTTTTCCATGATGGATGAGGTTCGAGGATGAAGTGAAGGTTTTCTCACATTCCGTACACTCATAGGGCCTCTCCCCAGTGTGAGTTCGGATATGTTCAGTTCGGCTTGAGGAAGTAGTGAAATCTTTGCCACAATACTTACACTTATAGGGTTTTGTTCCGGTGTGAATACGAATGTGTTTAGTAAGGTACGAAAAATACTGAAAGGACTTCCCACATACATCACATTCAAATGGTTTTTCCACCGTGTGGGTTTTTAAATGGTCATGCAGCAGATTGTACCTACGGTAGGCTTTCCCACATTCTTTACACTCGTAGGGCTTGTCTCCAGTATGAATGGTTAGATGTTTGCGTAAGTACGAGGAGTTGAGGAAGGCTTTCCCACACTCCTTACATATGCACGGTCTCTCTCCACTGTGCGTTCTCAAGTGCCTACGCAGGTATGAGGAAGCATGGAAGACTTTCCCACATTCCCCACATATATGAGGCATCTCTCCACTGTGAGTTTTTCTTATATGGTTATGTAGGTATGAGGAATTGAGGAAGGCTTTTCCACACTCCTTGCATATATAGGGTCTCTCTCCACTGTGAGTTCTCACATGTCTACGGAGATTCGAGTAAGAATGAAAGGCTTTCCCACATTCCCCACATATATAGGGCCTCTCTCCACTGTGAGTTCTTCCTATGTGGTTCCGTAGGTACGAGGAAGTCAGGAAGGCTCTTCCACACTCCTTACATATGTAAGGTCTCTCTCCACTGTGAATTCTTACATGTTGACTAAGGCGTGGGGAGGAAGCAAAGGCCTTCCCACACTCTTTACACGCAAAGGGTTTTTCTGAAGCATGAGTTGATATATGTGTTATAAGGCCTGAGCGCTTAGCAAAGGCTTTCCCACAATCCTTGCATTTATATGGTTTCTCTCCAGTATGAGTTCTAAAATGTTCCACTAGCCTCGAGTAGGTAGTGAAGGCTTTCCCACATTCCTTACATTCATAGGGTTTTTCTCCGGTGTGACTTCGTAAGTGTCTATTAAGATTTGAAGAACGTCCAAAGGCTCTTCCACAGATCTTACACGGATACGTTTTGATGGTGTGCATTTGAACAGAGGCGTCCTGACCCGAGTGAGTAAGATGTTCAGTGTAGCAAGTGCTGTGAGTTTTCACTTCTGTCTTGAAATATGAATGCTCACTGAAGATCTCTCCACACTGTACATAGTAACAGAGTTCTCTTGCACTGTGGCTTCTGACCTGTTGATAAAGGGATGACTTATCGTTAGAGAAATTTTCAGACTCACTGAAGGACTCCACTTAAGTGAAGGCAGAAAGATGATGATTTTTGCCATTTTGACTATATGCAAGACTCTTATCCTAAAGTCTAGAACCATCGGTTTTAATTTGGAAAGATGCCTTAGTCTTTTGGTAGTTTTGTTTTTGAGACAGGTTCTTACTATGTAGCCACAGCTGGCCTGAAGCTCAATGTGTAGAGAAGGCTGGCTTTAAACTCACAGAGCTCCACTTGCCTCTGCCTTCTGTATGGTGGACTTAAAGGAAGGTATGTGCCACCACACCTGACCCCTGGCCTTTTGTTCTTCTTTTTTTTTTTTTAATTGAGAAGGTGCCTCTCTATTAAATAGACCGGGTTAGCCTCAAACTCAGAGATCCATCCGACTTTGCCTCCCGAGTACTCAGATTAAAGGTGTGAACCACCATGCTTGGCTTTGCCCGAGCATATTAACGAAATTATTTTAAGATTCTCAGAAATCAGTAATATATGTGCAGGAATCAGTACTGAGGAGGACTCTATCACTCCAAGTTTTGATCTAGATCCTAAGACATTTTTCTTGGTAGGGTGAATATCACTTCTCTTATTTTTATCATTTGTGCTGATTTTCTACAAAATTCCCAATCTTTCCTGAGTGTGGTAAATAAGAACTCTCCTGGTTAACATCACCAACACTGTTCTCTCCTGTTGCTATGAACGAATGATAAAGTATGTTCAACTTTTTAATAGCATCTTTAGAATTTCTGCTTCCTTTCAAATACAAAGATGCAACAGTAGTTGCCATTTGATATAAGCTCAAAATAATTGTTAAGATATAAACAAATTGCCTTAAAAGCTAGTATCTAGTTACACATGTGGGGCCATGAACTTGTGGGATCTCTCTCTGTTATGCTGGGTGACAGATGCAGACTTCACTGAGTTGGAATTTTAGGTCTTCATCGTCTAGAGAGTGAACACCAGGCCATCCATACGTATGCATATGTATGCACACTGCCATATGCATAAAGAGGTAAGGGGACACCGGGAGAGCCCCTTTTCTCCTCCTACCATGCGGGTTCTGTGGATCAAGCTCATGTTGTCAGACTTTACCCACTGAGCCATCTTGGCCAGAGGGATCTCTTAAAGAATAGGTTTGTTTGTTTGTTTTTTAAAAGAATAGGTTTTATGATCAGTTTGGGTCACCCAAAAATTCATTATATTCAAAATGTTTCTTAGATATACTGCTGCTCTCTCCTGAGTGCATGCTATTTGGCTTTCTACAAGGGAATTCACAAGCGCCTAGGAATGAAGGAAATAACAAATATCTTTAGTCAGTCTTACTGGTTGTATTCCACTGGGAGTCTGTCCCCCCAAAAACTGACGCAGTGTTGACTCTTTGGTGCCAAGTGGCATTTCCCATTCTGGAAGTAAACAGAAAAACAAAATGAAGAGTTAGCCAAAACAAACAAACAAACAAACAAACAAACAGTCACAAAGTTAAATGACATAGGGCTTTTTTGACTGTTTCTACTGAACCTGGCTAAGAAAAAAGAAAAGTGTGATCATTTTGACCAGGTCAATAAATTGACTACACTAAGGATGCGAGCTTTAAATGGTTTATTTCAAACTGACTCTTTGAAAATTAAAACTCATGGCAAACAAGAACTGTACTATTAGGGCTGCAAAGTAGCAAAGATCTGAGCAAAGAATATAAACAACAACAATAAACACCAAACACAATAGGTCATTTCGCAAAACTACAGGAACATCTGAGAAGGCAAAAAGTAAGAGCCTATGAAATAAAGGGTTCTGTGCCCTTTCAGGTGCATGGCCCACACTTAAAGCCATCAGGTGCATCTTAAAAAGACTTCCCATTTAATTCTTAACACATTCTTCACAAGCACTCACCTTGCAGATCTTCTCTATGCAAATCCTCTTCTTCCAGCCAGGAGATCAGACTGGGTTTGATGACCTCGCATCCTGATACATGGCCAAGTGCATTCATGGAGGAAGTTCATGCAAAAGAGTACAAAAGTCAGCATAATTCAGGAGCTGTTTGGGTTTCTGTTTCTGTTTTTTGGACAGGGTATCACTATGTAGTCCTGGAACATGATATGTAAACCAGGATGGCCTCAAACTCATAAAAAGCTGTCTGTCTTCCTCCTGAGTACTTTGATTTAAGGTGTGTGCCATCATGCCAGCCATGAAGCTATGCTTCTAATGAAACCAGGGCAGTTATTTCAGAGAGGTTAACAAGCAAATGCTGCCTCTTCTATGCCCTGATTACCGCTGAACTGACACCACAGTTGATGATTATGTACACTCTAAGAAAACACTAACACTTCAGGTCAAATAGAAAGCAAAGTGAAACAAAGATAATTTTACTTCCAAACAGCAGGCTACAGAGCATCAGATTCTATAAGTAGGATGTACTCTTTTTTGACTCAGTATATCAAAGGAAGAGAATGACATTTCTTTTTTTTTCTTTTTTTTAATTTTTAATTTATTTATTTATTAAAGATTTCTGCCTCCTCCCCGCCACCGCCTCCCATTTCCCTCCCCCTCCCCCGATCAAACCCCCTCCCTCCCTCCGAAGAGCAATCAGGGTTCCCGGACCTGTGGGAAGTCCAAGGACCACCCACCTCCATCCAGGAATGACAACATTTCTATATTTTTCTTTCTCGTTCTCACTTTTCTTTTTGGGGGCGCAGTGCTGAGAATTAAACACAGGGACTAGCACAGAACACCCAACTCAATAAATTTGACTTTTAAATATTTATTTATTTGAGACAGGGTCTCACTGTGAGTTCTAGCTGTCCTGGAACTCACTATATAGACTAGGCTGACCTTAAACGCACCAAGACACATCTGTCTCTGCCTCCCAAGTTCTGGGATTAGAGCTAGCACCACTATGTCCAGTCAATGATTGTATTCCTCACAGGGTGATTGGTAGTGACGTCATTCATCTGGCACAGCATTTTGAGAACCACAACAGAAAATGAAAAGACATAGCAAACCCCACTTATTCATGCTTTTACTGTCTGTGGTTAGTTACACACTACCCCCTGTCCTGGAAATATTAAATATAAATTTCCAGAGAAGACCCATCATCGCACGTCATTCTGAGTAGCATCACAGAATCTCACACCACTCTTCTGTTCTGCCCTGAACGCAAATCACCCTTTGCCACAGCCACACTGAGCCTGCTGCCTGCTCCACGCCATTCAGTATCTTTCTGAGTAGCTTGCCTGTTGCACCACAGCAGCACCTGCCAGGCAAGGTGGCACAAACCTTGGGAGGCAGAGGCAGCTTGAGTTAGAGTTCCAGGTCAGCCACAGTGAGAATCCACCTCAAAACAAACAAAAAGCAGCATGGCCACACTTATGCTCATGTGGCTCTCACGTTACTAATGGCCTCAAAGACAACAGTAGTCTCGATGGCAATTCAGATCAGGCCAAGGAGAAGTTGTAAAATGTGGGAGGGAAACCTCTATGTTAGGGTTGCTAATATTTATTCTTAGGAGTTTTCTTTCGTCTTTCTTCTTTCTTTCTTTCTTTCTTTCTTCCTTTCTTTCTTTCTTTCTTTCTTTCTTTCTTTCCTTCCTTCCTTCTTTCTTTTTCTTTTCTTTTTCCTTTTTTCTTTTTGATTTTTCAAGATAGGACTTCTCTGTGTAACAGCCCTGGCTGTCCTGGAAGTAGCTCTAGACCAGATTAGCCTCAAACTCACAGAGATCTTTCTGCCTCTGCTTCTGAGTGCTGGGATTAAAGCCGTGTGCCACCACACTTGGCTCAGAAGTTTTATTTCTTATTTGGGTATTTTGCTTTCACGTATATGTGTAGTATGTGTACACAATCCCCCGAGGCCCGAAGAGGCAGCCAATCTGGAACTGAATTTACAGCAGCTCAAGGTTGTGAGCTGCTACCTGGGAGCAGGGAACCAAGCCTGGGTCCTTTGCAAGAGCAACAAGTGCTTTGAACTGCTGAGCCATCTCTCCAGCCTAATGCTAATTCATATCTACTCTCAAGAAGTTTCCAGTCAGATGTTATGGTAAGTATCTATGATCCCAGCACTTGGAAAGTGGAGACAAGAAGATCAGGACAAGGTCAACCTTAACTACAATGAAATCTTGCTTCCAAAAATTAAATCTCCAATGTGTGAAATCAAGAAAAAGGAACTCGGGGGCTGGAGAGATGGCTCAGTGGTTAAGAGCATTGCCTGCTCTTCCAAAGGTCCTGAGTTCAATTCCCGGCAACCACATGGTGGCTCACAACCATCTGTAATGAGATCTGGTACCCTCTTCTGGCCTGCAGACATACACACAGACAGAATATTGTATACATAATAAATAAATATTAAAAAAAAGAAAAAGAAACTCAAAGTATTAGCTCAACTGTACATACAGTTCAGTTTCACCTACAGTTTTAGGCATCCAATGGGACTCTTGGATCTTATCTCCCACAGACAGACTCAGGACAAAGATTGTGTGTCTGTACTTCCCCTTGCATTTTGATCCTGCAGCACACCCAGGATATGCCATCCTTCTCCTCCCTGAGAAGCCATAAGGAGTGGTGGCAGTCCTACCTGCTGAGGCCAGGTTCTGGTAGTTCTCCAGCATCACCTCTCTGTAGAGGTCTCTGTGAGCCTGATCCAATAAAATCCATTCTTCTTGGGTGAAGTCCACAGCCACATCATCAAAAGTCACCGAGACCTAAATCATACATACACACACACACACACACACACACGCCACACCACACCACACACACACACACACAGAGATTAAGAGAGAGAGAAAGAGAAAGCGAGAGAGATATTGAGTAAACAATAACATGTGTACCAATGTTCTCTCCAGTGAAGCGAGACCTAATATCCACACGGATCTGAGAGCGTCCATTGACTGCCCCAGGACTTGGTGGCCCCAATACCCCTGCCCACATCTACACTCAACTTGTTGATCTGCTCCAGACATTTACAATTAATGACCCTTCTGACAGGTGAGCAGACCTCGCCACAATCAGACTAGAAGTAGAAGCCCTTCTCTCAATTCCTTAAAATATATTTCTCAGCACACTACATATATTACCTTAACAGTAATAGACAAATACTCCAAAAAAAAAAAAAAAAGGACAGACACTAGATCTTCCTTATCATCTGTCAGAATAACTGAACTGGACCTAATTAATGTGCAAAGATTAATTAGTAATTATTGAATCTGGAATGAGTTTTAGGTATTACATCAACCCTATCAGAGTCCCCACTCTCTTAGAAATTCAGCCAGGTACTCAGCTCTTGAGGGGGCTTCTACTTGTTTTAGACTCTGGACGTAAGCCCACCCTGAAGAAGGGGGGACAACAAGGTGGGGTGAGACACAGTCCTACATACCTGGTAACAATTGGTCAGACAATCAGCCACCATCTTCTCTACCTTTATCTTTTCTTCAAGAACAGAGTCTGAGTCCCTGACAAAGAGTTCCTGGAAAAAGACAGAAGACATGAGGATGCAGAGCGGCCTTAAATCTTGTACGCCTTGACATCCTTGACATCATCCTGTCTACCGTAGTTGCCTCTCCTGTGGCTGTGGTAGAATCCTCTGACAAAGCAAACTGAAGGAGGAGATGCCAATTCTGGCTCACAGCCCCAGGGCCCAGTCCATCACGGTGGGAAAAGAAAGGAGCTTCAAGCAGCTGCTCACATCACAGCCACAATCAGGAAGCAGAGAAGCAATGAATGCATTGCTCGGCTCACTGTCCATTACAGACAGCCCAGGATCCTTGCCAACGTTCCGATGGTTCTTCCCCATAAAGTAACCCAATCAAGGTAAGTCTCACAGACCTTCTCAGAGGCCGCCCTAATCTAGACAGTGTGTGCCCAGAGATCTGCCCCCTAGGTGATGCTAGAACCTGTTGATTATGAACAATAACCAGTACACAGCCCTAATATGAAACCCATGTAATCCTGCACACCTGAGAAAACTCACCCATATACACAAACATGATGCCAAAGCAGTCCTATGTCACCTAGAACTGGAAACAAGCGGATGAACCATGCTACCCACTAGGAAAATGTCTCATTTTATAGGGAAGAGAACTTCAAGTCGGAGAGGTGACACCTTATTTTCCCATAGTAATATATCTTATGAGGATTATATAGTACTTATCAAAATACACACACCAAGAGCCAGACTTAGAATCTGCACTGTCATGGTTTGGGTATCGAAATGATCTCACAAATTCACGTGTTGACAGATTGGTAATACAGCAGTGTGTACCTCCTTTGGTAGGAGACTGAATCATGAGAGATCCATCACCAACTGATTAAGTTATGGGCCACATAACATAATGGGCTATTACAAGGTAGCAGAATTTATGGTGTGGGACCTAGACAGAGGAAGTAGGCCACTGAGGATGTGTTTCCGAAGAAAAGATGCTGTTTTCTGCACGGTAGCTCATGTTGTGTTTCTGCTTCCTGTCTGCCATGGGGTGAGTAACTCTCACAGTACCTTTTCCATCATGACCTTCTGCCTTACCAAGGGCTCAGAAACAGGGCCAAGTGAACCTGGACCAAAGCCTCTGAAAGCCAGAGCAATAAACTCTTTTCCTTATACGATGCTGGTGTCAAGTTTTTCTCTGTTTTGAGACAAGGTCTCATGTAGTCTAGGCTAGCCTTCAGCTTGATATGTAGCCAGGGATAAACTTGAATTCCTAATCTTCCTACCGTACCTCTCAAGTGATGGAATTACAGATGTGAACCACCATACCTGGCTTAGAGGGTGCTGGATGAATCCAGGGTCTTGGGCATGCTGGGCAACTGATCTACCAGCGGATCCCAGCTCCAGCGCCAGTGCCAGGCATTTTATCCCAGTGACAGAAAGTTAACATGACCATTCACTAACCTTTGAAGTGGTTAGTGAACTAAACTAAAGTAAACTCAGCAGGGCAGTGTGACTGTCCAGGCCTGGATCATAATCATAGGAATCTTTATTGTTCAGGGGACTTAGATTAGATCCTCTGAAAAGGAACAACAGGTCTAGACATGGAACACATCAGGAGTTGGCATCCCGAAGGTGGAATTGCACAGATGTTCCTTTTGCATGCTAAGGCCACCTCCTTAGGCATCTCAAGGGATGGTGAAACTCTACACTTCATTCGGGGCTATTAGGAGCCTGTTCCAACCAATCATCAAGAAGCAATAGTTCATTACCATACATGAGCTCCCTTTCCACATACGAGGTAAGTGAAAGCTACTATAGACAGTGTACCTTGTAATAGGAGTATTACTAACAACTCTGTCATTTACTAAAGACTAATGTGTGAATATGCAGTATATATTTATATGAACCAGTTGACTAGTATTTTTTAAAACTAATTAGATTTTATTTCGTGTATAGAGGCGTGTCCACCTTGCACAGGTGGAGGTCAGAGAATAATTTAGTTGATTCTTTCCTTCTATTTATATGGATTTGGGGGACTTGGAGTCATGTGGCTTGGGGCAAATGCCTTTACTTGCTGAATCATTTTGCTGGTCCTAGATAAACCTATTTAATTACCCTACCAGCCAATCACAGTAGACCTAGTGGAGAAACAGGTTTAGACACTGCAAGTAACTGTTCCAACGAAAGCAGGAAGTGTTGCAAAGTTCGGATCTTCTGTCGTGTTTTGTTGTCTAAGGCTGAACTAGAGATTCTCCTGCCTCAGTTTTCCAAGTGCTGGGACTAAAGGTATGTGCAGCCATGCCTGGCCTTCCTATTTGTGTCTCAACAGGATCAGAAGTACACCTGAGACCTGTACTGTACAACATATTTATGACTTCCACAAGTACTACCGATCACTTCTGTGAAGTCAGAATTTATTTTTTTTTGAGACAAAAATCTTAGTAGCCAGGCTGACCTTGAACTTGATATAAGACTAAGAATGACTTTTAAGTCTTGATCCTCCTGTTTCCACATCCCAAGTGTTAGAATTACAAATATGCACACCACACCTAGCTGAAGTTAATGTTTCTAAAGGAAGTTTGCTTTGTTAGTTGTTTAAGACTAACCTAGAATTTGAGATGTAGACCAGGCTAGCCTCAGACTTGCAGAGATCCACCTCCCTCGCCTCTCAAGAACTGACATACCAACCTAAACTTTATAATTTTGTGGTGCCCCAGTTAACTGGTGTTTGTTTGTTGTTGTTGCTATTTTTCGATATAATACTCAGAGTCCTGTCCATACTAGGCAGGCACTCTACTGCTGAGCTATACTGCCAGGCTCCAGTTCACCTTTAACAAGTCTTAGCTCACAGATGGACTAACTGAAGAGCAGGCCAATCCTGTGGCTATTTTCCTACTTTCTACATTTGTAACTAGAATGTTGCAAGGAACAGCTTGTTTGTCCAGGCTGCCCAGAACCGAAATAATCACACAGAAACTGTATTAATTAAAATGCTGCTTGGCTCATTAGCTCTAACTTCTTATTGGCTAACTCTTACATATTAATTTAACCCATCTCCATTAATCTGTGTATCACCACGAGGTCGTGGCCTACCAGCAAAAGTCTAGCATGTCTATCTCCAGCATCGGATCCATGGCGTCCCTCTGGCTCCACCCTTCTTTCTCCCAGAATTCAGTTCTGTCTTCCCTGCCTACCTAAGTTTCTTTATTCATTAATGGTAATGACAGCACACAGAGGGGACTCCCACATCATTAGAATATAGACATTCTTGGCTGGCAGAGTCCCTTCAATTAGATGTCTGGCATATAAAGTGGAGGTTTTTGTGATAGAAGCAAAGGTAGTAGCCTACACACTCGGGAGGTTGAGGCAGAAAGATTCCTACAAGTTCCAAGCCAACTGGACCTATGTATCAAGATCCTGTCTCAAAAACCGATGAATCCCCTCCTCATTCTTCACAGAAATAGAAGGAAAAACTATCTTAAAATTTATATGGAACCACCAAAGATCCAGGATAGCCAAACAATCCTGAAGAAGAAGAACACTGGAAGGATTACTATTCTAGATCTTAAAATATATTACAGAGTCAACAGTCATAAAAACAATATGGTACTGGCACAAAAACAGATGTGCAGTAGGCCTAGAGATGGCTCAGATGTTAAGAGCACCGGCTGCTCTTCCTAAGGACCCAGGTTCAATTCCCAGCACCCACATGGCTGCTCACAGCCATCTATAATTCTTGTTCCAGGAGATCTGATGTCCTCATCAGACATACCTGCAGGCAAAACACCAATGTACATGAAATAAAAATAAATAAATTATATTGAAAAAAAGACATGTAGACCAATAGGGGAAAATCAAAGATCCAAATATGAGTGCACATAACTTCAGCCACTTAATATTTGACAATGATAGATAAACATAAGCTGAACAAAGGGACATCTTCAACACGAGGCGCTGGGAAAATTTAATGTCCACATGTAGAAGCACAAAATTAGACCCGTATGTACCACCTTGCACAAAAACTAACTCCGAATGGATCAAAGACCTAAACCTGAAACCTGAGATAATGAAACAGCCAGGAGAAAACACAGGCATTACCCTAATGATGCAGGTGTAGGGAAGGACCTCCTGAATAGTACTCCATCTACCCAGGAATTAACCTTAACAATTACCAAAGCTGAAAGACTTCTGTGCAGCTAAAGAAACAATCAGCTGTGTAAAGACGAAGCCCACAGAAAGGGGAAGAATCTTTGCCCACTGTACATTTGACATAGGATTAATTCCCTGAATATATAAAGAGCTAAGAAGAAAGAAAGGAAGGAAGAAAGAAAGAAAGAAAGAAAGAAAGAAAGAAAGAAAGAAAGAAAGAAAGAAGGAAAACAAAAGAAGCAACAAATGACCCATTCAAAATATGAGCCTGGGACCTGAACAGTTCTCAAAAGAAAAGCAAACAAATAAAGTCTAAAAAAATGTTTATTATCTCTAGCAACTGGGGAAAAGAAAACCAGAACAACTTTGATGGCAAAGTTCAACCGACAACAAATGATGAATAGAGTGTGGGGGAAAAGGAACCTTCCTTCAATGTTGGTGGGATTACAAACTGGTATAGCCACTACGGGAATCAATGTGGAGGATCAATCAATCAATCAATCAATCAATGTGGAGAATCAATCAATCAATCTTTCTCTCTCTGGTTTTTCGAGATAAAGTTTCTCTGTGTAGCCCTGGCTGTCCTGGAACTTGCTCTGTAGACCAAGCTAACCTCAAACTCAGAGATCCTCCTGGCCCTGCTTCCCAAGTGCTGGGATTAAAGGCATGGGTCACCACCACCTGACTCAAGTGTAGAAACTCTCAAAAAGCTAAAAATAAAGCCAGACAGTGGTGGTGCATACCTATAATCCCAGTAATTGGGAGGCAGAGGCAGGTGGATCTCCATGAGTTTGAGGTTATCCTGGTCTACTAATATAGGAAGTCCTTCTGTATATGTGTTGTTTTTATTGATTGATGAATAAAGCTGTTTTGGCCAAAGGCTTAGCAGAGTAAAGCCAGACAGGAAATCTGAACAGAGACAGAGAGAGTAGGAGGAGCTGAGGAGACACCATGTAGCTGCTGAACAAGAAAGTTGTCAGAAACTTACTGGTAAGCCACAGCCTTGTGGTTATACACAGATGACTAGAAATGGGTTAGTTTAAGATATAAACGCTAGCTAGGAATATGCCTGAGCCATTGGTTAAAGAGTGTTGTAATTAATATAGCTTTTGTGTGATTATTCGTATCTGGGCAGCCAGGAAATGAAAGTGCAGTCTCTGTCTGTTTACATAATGGTGCCTAACATTTGGCAACGTACTTCCACATAAAGCCTAACAAAGCTTGTAAAAATTACTTCTAGACCCACAAAAATGGGAGTCAATTGGAACTTGTGGTAGCCACAATTTTTCAGATAGGCTCTGTTTGCTGGCTGTAATCAGACGTGCAGCTTTTCTCAGAGACAGCTTGCTGGTTCATACTGGTGGCACCAATGGCTCTGGCTCTTCTGGGAGGTCCTGCTACAACAGAGCATTTAAATGGGGTTTCTGAGCAGAGTGCTACAAGTAGCTTAATGGTGATATAGACCCTCTGTGTCCCTGGAGCATGGCTCGCAGAGGCAGTGAACACACCTCTACCATACTGGACAGGGTGGAGCCAACAGACAAAGCTGCAGCATTATTGCTAGCCATGCCTCCTTAGCATTTAAAAAAAAAAACAAAGCAAAACAAAACTCTCCTGGTTAGAAAATGATTACAGATACACAATAAGAGATTCAGACAAAAAAGATCTCTGAATGGGACAGTGTTGGGTAAATGTACATAGGCTTAGGACAGAGAAAAGAAAGAGTACAGTCATAGATTAAAGGAGTAAAATAATAAAATATTAAAAAGTAATAGAGTAAAAAAATAAGCCACATATACAGTTACAGGAGGAGACCTTATTCAAAAATAAAAGATGATACCACATTACCCACTTCTCCCTTACCCATGAAAGAGTGGGAGGCAGGCTAGGGAGATAGCTCAGCAGACAGAGGTACTTGCTTGCCTGCTGACAGAGTTCAATCCCCAGGATTCAAAATAGTAGGGGGAACTGCAAGGCGTCCTCTAACCTCCAAATGTCTGCTGTGACGTCTTTTCACACAGGCACAAATATGACAGTACACTAAAAGAAGTTTAAAGTGAGGGGCTGAAGAGATGGCTCAGAGGTTAAGAGCATTGCCTGCTCTTCCAAAGGTCCTGAGTTCAATTCCCTGCAACTACATGGTGGCTCACAGCCATCTGTAATGGGGTCTGGTGCCCTCTTCTGGCCTGCAGGCATACACACAGACAGAATATTGTATACATCCTAAATAAATAAATAAATATTTTTTTTTTTAAAAGAAGTTTAAAGTGTGGGAGACTTAGTGGTGATGTTTTCTAAAGGTCCAGTGCTGTTGTCAAGCAAAGCATTCATTTGAAGATTTCATTTAGGTTATTGCTCCTTATGCCAACCAAAACAAGACATAACACTTAACAGATACTTGAGTTTGGAGCACCTATACGGCCTCCAGCTTCACGCGCATGCCAGAACAAGTTACGACAGCTATAGTAGAAGGGGACTCAGCAGGCAAAGGAGCTTGCCATAGAAGCCTGGAGACCTGAATTCAATCTTCAGAACCTACGAAAAGAATGGACCCCACAAAGTTGCTCTGTGCCAAGCCACACCCATCACATACACATGTATACAAGAAGAATAATTAAAAATCTTAAAGCATATAATACAAGGTTTTCAAGTGACTGATCTGAATCCTTCAGCAGATCCAAAAGATGTCCAAGTGCCAGAAGTCAGGCAACACCTTAGCCTTCTTGGTACTTTAGCACAATCCTTGGCCTTTTGTAAATCTGCTGCCGGAGGCTAGACTCAGAGCCTCCTGCCTGCCAAGTAAGTTCGCTATCCCTGAGCCACACACACTCCAGGCACCATGCCCTCTTTTAAAGATCAACACGTCTGCTTTTGAGAAACAGTTGTGGCTCACAACTAGCACATCACGGGATAACCACAGACACACAGTTACTAGAGAAGAACTGAGTAACGCTGCCCGGACAGCCAAGGAGAATACAGTGCTCATAGGAGCTCTTACCACAGCTTACAGATCTTTCTTCTGGAGTTATGGAGCACGTGGGAAAAAGAGAAAGGAGGAAACACAGGCATTTTTAAACATCCCATGAGCCTTCAATTAGAAATAGCAAAATGTATGACTTTCCTAAAGAATGTGAGACTCTTCAAATATTACCACAGAGCCAGGCATGGTGCTACACACTAGAAATCCCAACAACTGGGAGGTAAAGGCTGGAGGATCAGAAGTTCAGGGTCAGCCTCAACTACATAGCAAGGTTGAGGCCAGCCTGGGTTACAAGACACCCTATTTCAAAGAACAAACAGAAGCCACGGATTTGGATCAGTGAGTAAGACAAAGCCAGAAAACCCAAGTTTTACCTCTAGCACCAGAGATGGTGGAAAGAGAACCAACTCCTGAAAATCGTTCTATGACCTCTGAGCCAGGGTTAGTTCCTGAAATTAAGGATGCAAAGGCCTTCAGCTTCAGGTGAAGAGAGCAGTATTCTCATTTTCACCAGCAGAAAGTCATAGTCCCACTGTATCTATACACTTATGTACAAAATATTCAATGTGTAGCTCACTGAATGAGCAGTTTTATGAGTAGTAAAGTCAAGAGGAGAAGAGGTAAAGAGAGAAAGAAAAGAGAATAAAGAAAGGCAAGGAAAAGGAAGAAAAAAAGAAAAGGAATGACTAAAGAAATAAATATTCAGGGGGGCGTGGTGGCGCACGCCTTTAATCCCAGCACTACGAGGCAGAGGTAGGCGGATCTTCACGAGTTCGAGGCCAACCCGGTGTACACTGCACACAGCGAGTTCCCGTTCAGCGGGGAGAAAAAAAGAAAAAGAAAGAAAAAAAGAAAAGAAAAGAAAAATAAACATTCACACTCACCCCAAACAGAAATGTTACTGCTAGACACCTAAGAGCACTTTTTCTACCCCAATGTCATATGACAGAATTAAACAGATGCCAAAGACAAAGCCACACTCTGCGAGGTAAGATTCCTTCACAAACCCCAGCCCGCGGTGCTCACCCGAGCTCCACAATCAGGGGTGGTGCAGAGGAGGCGGCGGCTGCAGGGCGATGCAGAGCGGCGGAGTTCTGTTCTGGAAGACCGACTAATCTGGAAGGCTGAAGGCGGATTGGGATTTTCTGCAGAGGGGGCCGAGCAGACTGCAAGTTCCTTCCCGGGAGAGCGTCCGCAGCGGCGGAGAGAGGCGAGGTGCACGCCAGATCCGCCGGTCCCGGGCTCCGAGCCTACGACGGCCTCTCCGCGGGCTGCGGACACAGCCACGCCTTACACTGACCCTTCACGGCCGCCGTCGCGCCCCCCTCCTCGACTCCCAGGGAGTAAAGATGGACCAGACGCGAAGAAAGGCACTGCGAACTACAGGACGGAGCCATCGCTAGAAAAAAAGGGGGGCGCTATGTCGGTGTCACTTCCGCTTCCGTCCTGGAGTGTAGCCCGGGAGATTCGGGTCTTGGCCACCCTGGACAGAGGTGGAATTTAGGAACTAAGAAATGGCTCTGGGGTTAGGCGTGTTGCTCTTGTAGAGGACCCAGGTGGTGGCGCACAGTTGTCCGTAGCTCCACCATGTTTGACTTAGATCTTAAACCTGTCCCTCTGTCTCTGTCTCTCTTTCACTTAAGAGGCAAAGGCAGACAGATCTCTGTGAGTTCATGGCTAGGCTGCATAGTGAGTCAGAGAGAGACTAAGACTATTCTCGAGCCAAATATGAACGACTTTGGCCCAGGAACACAGATTTGAAGTTACCCCAAATTCCACATACAAATGTAACTGTTTCACGAAATTATTATAGTAACAGAACAAAGAAGATGGTAAAGCATGTAACAGACCTTAGCAAAGCTGACACCATGGTGGAAGTACCGTTCAGGATGCAAAACTCAGCATGTAGGCCACCACCTGCTAAAACTAAAGCAAAGGCCTAGTCCATCAAGTCCATGGTTCTGGGAAAGTCTCTAAATGTACTAACTTTGCCTTTTGGCTTCTGTAGTTCTGCTTCCAGCTAACTGTTCTTGTTAACTGAAGTATGTCAACCCAGGACATGGCTTTTCTGCTTAAAAGCTCATGCTGAGAAAGGCTTGGGTTATAGTGGGATGTTGACCACCCAGTGTAGTCACCAGCTGGCTTATTAGCCAGACTTTTTATTGGCTAAAAGACCTGTCTGTTTTAGTTTTTTTTGGGGGGGGGGATGCTGTTTTTTCAAGACAGGGTTTCCCAGTAGCTATGGAGTCAATCCTGGAACTCGCTCTGTAGACCAGGCAGGCTTCAAACTCACAGATATCCATCCACCTGCCTCTGCTTCCCGAGTATGAGGATTAAAAGTGTGTGCCACCACCACCTGGCTTTTCTATTGGCTTAAACTCGAGTCAGAGCAGTCTTCTCTGGTGGATACCCCCACAAAAAGCACAACCACAGATACTTGTAGACAGCAGGTGCATGGATTTGTTTCTTTTTTAATTTTAATAAATTTTATTTTAGGTGCATGGGTGTCTTGCCTACATGTGTGTCTGTGCAGCATGTGCATGCAGAGCCTGCTGAATCCAGAAGAGGGCATCAGATCCGCTGGAACCGGAGTCACAGATAGTGGTAAGACGCCATGTGATTGCTGGGAATCGAACCAGGGTCTTATGGAAGAGCAGTCAATGTTCTTAACCACTGAGCCATCTCTCCAGTCCCCAGAATTTTTTTTCTTGATCTACTCAGTCAACCTGTGTCTTTTGATTGAAGAATTCAGAACATTAATATTTAAAGTTATTGTTAAAATGTGTATGTTAACTATGGTAATTGTGTTGATTTTGGAGTCATTTGTGTTTTTGGTGGTATTTTGTGTGTGTGTGGAGGGGTTTGTTTGAGACAGTGTCTCTCTATATAGCTCTGCTAGTCCTGGTACTCACTCTGTAGACCAGACTTGCCTCAACTCCCAGAGATCTGACTGCTTTTCCCTCTCCAGTGCTGGATTAAAGGTATGTGCTACCATGCCTGGTGGTACTTCATGTTTTAATAATTATGGATTCTTATTTCTTTCCACAGTATCTCTGCTATGCTCATTCCTCTCTTCAACCCAAACTTTTGCTTCTCATATTTTTCTTAGGTTTAATTTGTTGAATATAATTTTTAGGATGCTTATATCATGGAAAGTTTTTCTTTTTCTTTCAATTATGGTAGATCAATCTAGGCTGGCTATCATTCACAATCTCGACACCCAAAGTCCAAAGTTGATTAAACACTTTTGGCATTATGATATGGCAACATGTTTGCGGGGATCCGGGAGTAGAATGTGGTGTTTTGATTGAGAGTGGCCTCCCTCAGGCTCATATGTTTGAAAGCTTCGTCCCTAGCTGTTAGAACCATTTAGAGAAGGATTAGAGGTGCAGCCTTATTGAAAAGGGTGTGTCATAGGGGTTGAGCTTTGAGGTTTCAAAATCCCAAGCCAGGCCCAGTCTGTTTCACTCTCTGCCCCATGCTTGTGGAGCAGATGTAAGCTCTCAGCCCCAGCACCATGCCTTCCTGCCTGCTGCGATGCTTCCCACAGTCATGGTCATGGATTCAGGCTCTGAAATTGCAGGCAAGCCTCCAGTTCTTTTATGAGCTACCTTTGTTGTGGTGCCTCTTTTGCAGAATAGAAAAGCAACTAAGACATAAGACTTTCCTTTGACTTTTCTATTTGAGGCATTGGGTGTTTCAATTCCATCTCCCTTTCAGCCTGAGTCCTCTTCAGTGTTTCTGTCTTCTCACTGGAGTCTTTCTCATGTCCTGGATTTTCTCTATCATTGCCATCAGCTCTGTGTTTTCTTGGCCATCACTCGATTGTTTATTCTCCTTAAACTCTTTCTCTTCTTTTTTTTTATTTTTTATTTTTTTTTTTTTTCTAGACAGGGTTTCTCTGTGGCTTTGGAGCCTGTCCTGGAACTAGCTCTGTAGACCAGGCTGGTCTCGAACTCACAGAGATCGCCTGCCTCTGCCTCCCGAGTGCTGGGATTAAAAGCGTGCGCCACCATCGCCCAGCTCTTTCTCTTCTTTTAAGTTTTATAAATTGATTTTTATTGAGCTCTACATTTTTCTGCTCCCCTCCCTGCCTCTCCCCTCCCCTTCAGCACTCTTCCAAGGTCCCCATGCTCCCAATTTACTCAGGAGATCTTGTCTTTTTCTACTACTCATGTAGATTAGATCTATGTATGTCCCTCTTAGGGTCCTCATTGTTGTCTAGGTCTTTTAAGTTTTTTAAATTTCATTGAGTGGTTTCTTTGTGTCTTCTATAAGCTCCTTGAATTCATTGATGAAATTTGTGAATTATTCCGTTAAGTTCTGTGTCTTAGGATTCATGTAGGTAATTCTCATTTGTAAACATTTCTACAGGACTGGTAGATTTTGGAGAGAAGACACTGGTTTGATCTTTTACACTGTTATTTTTGAGATGAGATCTTGCAGGTGGACTTCTTTTGTTAGTTCTAAGTCAGATATGGACAGAACAGGTTTAGAAATAATGGAGGGCATGCAGGTGGGTTGGGAATGGCTTGGTGGAATGAAGTCAGGTAAACAGAGGGACTAGCCTGGTGTACAGGATCTGCTTCCTGTTTTAAGCCTGGAGTGTGTGTAGATCTGGCTTGGGAGAGTTTGGTGATGGTGGTAGGGGTGAGGGTTGAAGGATGAATAGGAAGGAAGTGTCCTGGCAGAAGTCAAGAGATTGGTTGCAGCACTGGCAGGGAAGGCCAGTCTAGGCCAGGGCATTAGATGTAAGACCCACGTTAGATCTAGCGGGTTGGAGAGGATGCATCAGAACAGACCGTAGAGAAAGATGAGGGATCTCTAGCTGAGTGGAGAGGTTGGCTGTATCATTGAAGGGACTTGTGGGCAGTGGCTATTAGGGCAGGTCCTGGCAGATTAGCTAGAGTTAGGTTGCAGTGCAGGCAGAGGGTGGCCAGACTAGGCCAGGACACCAGATGTGGGACCTGAACTGAAAAGAAAAGGTATGGATGGGAAGGTCAGCAAAGAACAACAGCTATTTAGTGGTCTGAGAAATGGGGATACCCAAAGCAGGATGGCCCAGTGTGGTTGTGAGAAATGCCTAGCAGTGTCTTGTGAGTGATCTAGTCGCATGTGATTGCTGAGAGGAGTTAGGGAGTCAGCACAGGCCAGGGACTTTCAGGCATCCCAGATACTCTTTCCATAAGAGATAATCCAGTGTTGCCTAATTTTGTATTATAGCAGTTCTAACTGCTCCTAGTTCTTGATTTAATTCTAATATTTGTGTTGTTATGTTAATGGTGTTGGTAATAGCACATGCCAGCTTTGTAGTCTTCTGCTGAATGCCTACAAAAGGTACAAGCAAAAGAAAAGTAGCTACTGTAGCTGTCTCAGGGATGGGCATAAGCTTTAATGGTCATCACAATAAATGGGAAAGTTTCAGCATTTTGTGCATAATGCAGTTGGATGTCAGTCAATGTGGAAAGCATGTGACCAAGGGCATGTAAACCATAAAATTTGGTTCATAGAAAAATAATAGTATGGTTCCTGCGGAAAAGGGACCAACCATAGGTAAAACTTTTCTTTTTTTTAATCTGTCCCCAAGTAGGGCCCTTGGTTCTGCTTGGTGAGTCTGTCGAGTTGCCTCTTCTTTGTACTGGTGATCTTCCTCTCCTCGAGAATGTTTCAAATGGGTCCAGATGTTGAAACTCCCGTCACTTCACACTGGAAGTTTATATGTTGTTGTGGTATTCACACTAGTTGATCTGAATCTGAAACAACATAAGCAAGCCCACCTCCACATGTTTCCATGTTCCTGCTATGCCATTCTTTCTCAGAT